TTGGATTGAGAAGTACCTAGGAGATTAGTAAAGCATACCTGAGTGTGTCCGTGAGGATATTTCCAAAGAGGATTAACTAAGGGACCAAGACCCACACTGAATGTGCTGAATGTGGACAGCACCATCCTATAGGCTGGGTGCTGGGATGGAATAAAAGTGTGTGGGGTGGGAAGAAAGCCTCTCTCTCTCTCTCTCTCTCTCTCTCTCTCTCTCTCTCTCTCCTTCCTGGCTGCCAAAAGAACTACTCTATTCCACCACGTCCTCCCTACCATTATGGATTGAAACCTTTGAAACTGTGAGCCAAAATAATGTTACTCCTTTTAAGTGTTTTCCTAGGATTTTAGTCACAGCATGGAGAAAGTCAGACAGATTCTACTCGATTGTGTGACCTTTCTCTAGACGTCTCTTTCTCCCAGGAAGAGGTATTGCGTTCACTTTTGTAATCTGAATCTGTGCTACTTTTAAACTTTGAATTTTTGCTTTCAGTCTTTGGTTCACCAGTACCATGTTTCTCTGGACGTCCTTGTAGCCTTGGACTAGCCTCTGTGTTCCTTGGTTCACCATTACCACAGCTGTTGCTCGAGTCTTTTCGCATTCTGTCCACTCCTCTGCTATACTGGCTGTGTCTAATAGCCTTCCTCCCTCTTCTATTATCCTCATTTGAGTTACCTTCACCAACCTGATGAGAACGAGACCAAACTCCATCGGTGCAATGTTTCTCAACAGGTGTAGACAAATGCGAAGTGTTCTGTGTTTCAGAATGTGGTTTTCCTTCTTTTTCCAGGTTTGGCGGTAAAGTGTGATGATATACATCTTTAGAAACATCATGTTTAACTCTGTGATCAGTCTTTGAACAATCATCCAAATGGGGAGATCTGGAGGTGAGATCTTTTGTTCTAATTGCATCCGATGTCCTTGCGACTTTATGATTATTTAGAAAATGTGGAAACTCAGACAATCTATCAAGAAATAGAAATTAACAACAAAAAGTGAAGTTATTACAGCTGAATGCCATATTTCATGCTTATAATCCCAGCACTTGGTAGGCCAGGGTGGGAGGATCACGAGTATGGAGGTGTATATATATGTACACATACCATCTCAAAATAGGGAACTTTGGCATAAAGATTGTTTAGACCTAGGGCCTGTAAGAAAAATTATCTTTTCTATCAAAGTATTTGTGATACTCTTAGATTAAAAATTCCTCAGTGTGCCATTTTAGGTGACTTGCATGTTTAAAGGGTCCTTGCTTCTTCTTCTGGATTCCTGTACAACTCCATTGCCCACCAAACTGCATGCCCTAACCCATCCCCCAAGCCTTTTAGCCAATCGGGAAAGATGTGAACCTTTGACCTGGACAAATCCCAGGTGAGGGGCAGGTACAATTGCATCAGGGATATAAGGAAGAGCCACTGTCAGCCATTTTGTGCTTGCGTGTTGCTTAGCGTGAGTGAGCACATGCTTGCACCCTCTTGATCAAGACAAAATTGCCTTGCCAAGATTTTCTGTCTCTTGTGTGTCTGTCTTCCGCACCAGAGGGTTATCAATTCCAACAGGCCTGAGGATAAGGCTTAGTGGTAGAGCACTTTTCTACCTCCAACACTGAAAACAAAAATATTATTTTGAGCTACAGGTCACCCAGGATCGACAGATGTAAGAAGAGTTCTCTGTTCTTCCTTATCTGCCTAAAAGCAGAGCATACATTTCCCTTTGAGGAAAGTCCTCTCCCATTTCTCATACTAGGGAGCCAAGAGCAACTCTTACCATCCAGGATGGATAGCCAATATTAATCAATGTGTGAGTTTGGGCTTGTATAACAGAATACTGTAACAATAATATGGCTTAAACATTTATTTCTTATAGTTGTGGAGTCTGGGAAGTCTAAGATCAATCTACCAATAGATTAGTGTGGCTTGCTAAATCCTCATATGCCAGAGAGAAAGATCTTGTGTCTCTTCCTCTTTTATAAGGACATTAATCTCATTGTGAAGGCTTCCTCCTCCTCATCTAATCTAACCCTAATCTTTGAATACATAAAAAAATTATTTTAGGGACTGGCGGAGTGGCTCAAGTGGTGGAGCATCTTCCTAGATATTGTGAGACCCTCAGTTCAAACCCCAGTACTACCAAAAAAAAAAGCACTTTAGTTCTTGTCCTTAAAAAATATAAAGAGTGTACAGGATTTGGAAATAAAATTGTACTCTCCTATGCTTTTTCTTTTGTCTGGTCATCCAGAAATATGCTATCAGGTATGATTGTTGTTGCTTGTCTTGATATGAGGATATCATTTTAATTCATGAATTTACCATAGTCTACTTTCCCTTCCACGTAAATTCAAGACCTCCTTTCTACATATTGCTATGGCACATATGTGAGACCTGGCCACCATACTGATATTATATACCACACTGTCTTTTTTTTTATTATTTATAGGGGAGAGTGTGAACGCATGTTGTCTTTTGACTGACATCATCCATTGTACAGTTCACTGTCTTCTGATTGCTGTATCTCATGTACTATTAAGAGAAAAACATTTTGACTGAATTTTTTCTTTCTATCTGTCTCATGACTGGGTCCTGATGCACTTTACCACTGACTGTCTTCCCCGTCTGTAATCTGGATCTGAGGTGTGATAATGAGCTATTATGACTTGGATACTTTGCTTCCAGACTCTAAGGAACAGAACAAAGAGGTAAGTATTTTTAAAAATCATGAATTCATGTTGACATTTGTAGGCCACATATAAGAGCATAGGATTTTTTTTTCCTCTTTTGATATTCTTTGAGTCTTTCACTAAAGATCTTGGTTCCTAAAAAATCAACATACTTCTTTTTCCTCAATATACATACAAAATAGTTTCAAGCTTACAATATCAATACTAACTGTAAAAGTATTACATGGAGTATAAGGTTTCTATGTAGTTCTTTTTGTCTTTAGATTATATCTAGTTAATGATGTATAATCAGAGCACTCTGTTCAAATGTCACTTGAAAACATTATTTTCTCTGGGTGGGTCTATTTCTGTCTAAACTTTTCAATTTAGTTTCCATTTTAGCATTTTTCTTTCTGATTTTATTCAATTTTTGAATATATAAACCAGTGATATCGTTCAAATGTTAGGAAGTGGGGTGTGGGGAGCTCAGTGGTAGAATGTTGGAAGCCCTGGATTCTAATCACCACCTAGCAACAAACAACTTCTGTAGTCCCTTCACATTGTCATCATTTAAAGGTAAATTCCAAGCTCTTTTGATATTTGCTTGTAATATATGGCCTTTCACAATCTGATCCCTGCCTCCCTCTCCAGCCTCCTCACCCATTTTATTTTTGGTGCTGAGGTTTGAGCCTAGGCCTTTCTGGGTACCTAGCATGTGTTGTAACCCTGCACTACTTGGGAGCCCCTCACTTCCTACCCCAGCAACAATGGCTGCTTTGTGGTTGCTGTGTAAACCCTCTATCCCTTCCTAGCTGGCTCCTTTACTTGGAATAATTATCCATCTAAGTTCTCTTCCAAAGCAAAGTTGAGCAGGAAGGATCTAGGAAGTCAGTGCTCTCCCAGAATATAGTCTCCAAAATAAGGGCCTTTTCAGACACGTAAAAGTAGTAGAGGGGGCTGGAGGCATGGCTCAAGTGGTAGAGTGCCTGCCTAACAAGCGCCGGTTCCTGAGTTCCCCCAGGACTCACTCCCCCCAAGAAGAAAAAAAAAATATGTAGTACAGTTAAGCATGATGAGGCACGCCTGCACCCACCTAGGAGGCTCAGGCAAAATGTTTGAGGCCTGTTTTGTTTTGTTTCGTTTCTTAAAAAAAAGGTAGTTAAGTTGATATGACAATTATTTTGACTAAAATGGACAAGCATGAGGAAGAGAGTAGGGATCAAGATTGGGAGACTGGTGCCAGTGGGCACACACCTGTAATTCTACTTGGGAGGCAGACAAGAGAAGGAGAATCGCGGTTCGAGGCCAGTCCAGGACAATAGAGAGACCCTATCTCAAGAAAACAAGACAGACTGGCGGAGTAGCTCACATGGGTAGAGCACCTGTCTAGCAAGTGTGAGGCCTTGTGTACAAACCTCAGTACGTAAACATAAACAGTAAGTAAATAAATAATTGGGAGACTGACATATAGCCCGGGAGAGGTGGCTTTGTTTAGAGGCTAGCTCTACCAGCACTCCTGCTCCCTGCAAGTTTTCTTCTAAAAACTCTCTCACCCCACTAACTTAATATGGCCTCCAAGCTCCCAACACCCTGTTCTAAATCATCTGCCTATCACCCAGGAAAGCATCTAAGGGCAGGGAACAAGTTTATTCACCTTTTTTTTTGCGGTAATGGGGTTTGAAACTCAGGGCCTACACCTGGAGTCGCTCCGCTAGCCCTTTTTTTTATGATGGATTTTTTTCGAGATAGGGTCTTGTGAACTATTTGCCCAGGCTGGCTTGGAACCGCGGTCCTCCTGATCTCTACCTCCTGAATAGCTAGGATTACAGGCGTGAACCACCGGGGCCCAAGTTTATTCAACTTTACTGAGCCAGCGTCCCAGCTCTAGGGCTGGAACGTACTTGACACCCAGTGGAATCTCTAGAATAAAGGACTAATATGACCACGTCTTCTGAGAACTCACTTTTTCTTTTCGTTAAAGAACTTTCCTCAGGCCCCGCCCACACCTCCTCCAGCTTCCGCCCCTTCCGTAAAAAGTCCCGCCCCATCACGGCCCCCCGGACCTTACGCCCCGCCCCTCCCCGCCCCGTTCGCTAAGACCTCGCTGAAGAGTACCAGTGTTTGGCGCCAACCGTGTTTTCTTTTTCCTCCCTTCCAAAGGCGGGAACTAGTTGTGTGCGCCGGGACGTGCTTTACGTCTGATCTGATTGGTTGTGAACACTCAGTCCCGCCTCCGCGTCCTGACTGCGGGCTGGTATTGGTGGAGAAACCCAGCAAGACCTCGGTGTCTAGAAAGGAACCCGGGTTGTCTTGGGCCGGAGAGGGCGGGTAAGTTGCTGTAGGGACCCGCTTGGCTCGGGGCTCCAAGTGAAGAGGCTGCATGGTGCGGTAGTGTCCTCAGCGGAGGCCGGCGGCGCCCAGGAAGCCAGAGAGTCGGGAGGAGCCCACCTGGAACGGGCCATATCGTGGGGAAAGGGCCGCGCCTGACGTCCGGGGACCGCAGGTATCCACGTTCCCCTTGCCCTCGGCTGCAGCTTGTGGACTCTCACTGCTGGCCATTCGGGGGCCCTTGGGGATCCCTCGAGAGGGTCTGATAGGGGGCTGGGGGCTAACGCATGAAGAAATTGCCCTTTCGTCCAGTTGTCCCACCCCTCCCCCAATTTTACCTTGGTTCCTACTCCCGAAAGCACTCGGGTGGGATTCTAGAGAACTGGTTTTCCTTGACGTCAGCTGGTCACTGATGTTGGCTGTTGCGCCGAGAGACATTGTTTATCTTGGTCTCTGCAGCACCCGGAACCACCCCCGACACTCAGGATTTGTGCTGCAGGAGCCGGCTGACGTTGACTCTGACTTTCCGACCCTCTCCTGGGCTCTCCTCTCCTCCCCTGTTCTCCACAGCTCTAAAACTCTTGCCTCTCGTCCATGCCCTCCCGCATTTCCCTCGGCTCCTCTTTGGAGGGGAACCGAGGTCATCAGCGCAAGAATTCTCTTACCCGACCTCCATACCCCAGATTATTTTCTCCTAGCATTCCCTGCTATTTTACAAGATATTGTCCCCTGTTAAAAAAAAAAATCTTTGTTCTCTAATGAATATTCTTGATTTTGGTCTTCTGGCTTTAGAGACAGGCCTGGCGTTCAATCCCAGCTCTTCCACGTATCAGCTGTTGGCCCTGTACAAATTTCTTAATCGACAGTGGCAGTGTCCTCATCTGTAAAATGGGATTAAGTATAATATGGGCCTCATCGGAATTTAAGGAGGACTTAAAGCGAGCTAATGTATTTAGAGCAGCTAGGTTAGTACGTGGCACAGTAAATGTGCAGTGTGTGACAGCATTTGTTACTTGTCCCTCACATCTTCAGCGCCTAGAAATACACACCCTCCTCCTTTAGCTTTTTCCTTTTTCTCTAGAAATGCTTGCTTGTCTCAATTTTTTAAAAAAGAAAACTCCTTCAGACTGCCTTTTATGACATTGACTGCCTTTTAAGACATTGTCCTATTAAAAAAGACTAGATGATCCTTCTCTCATCTTCTTTGCTTTCATATCTGAATTAATTGAAATTATTCTTCAAGAGATTAAGTATGGATAAGTGAGCTTTTGGTGCTGAAGACCGAGCACACGCTCCACCACTGACCAACATCCTCAGCACAGCAACTGTGTTTTAATCATTATGGTTCTCAGCTTTTATGATTTTGCCTCTGTACTTTTCACAGATGCACCACTCCTGTCACTAGTAACTCTCATTATATATGAGATCCTCAAATGGGGGAAGGAGAGAGCAAGTGTAAAACCATCCCTCTTCCCAAAATATTTTGATATTGAAGATGCTTCTTCCTCTTCTCCCTCCCTTTCTTTCCAGGAGAATCACTGGCCATTGTGATTTTAAGAGTATAATCTCAACTATCACCAAGATACTGCTGGACCCAACCATACATACAATGTTTACTCTTGTGCAACATACTATTTCTAACTCTTGTTAGATAACCTGAGTCTGAATGCTATACAGATGATAATTGTCTTCTTTATTTCTCTATTCCCATTAAAAACACAACTTCCACCTTGTTATCAAATTAGAAACTTCAGAGTCCTCTTTAACGTATTGGGAATTTCAGCTGGGTGCTGTGGCTCATGCCTACTTGAGGAGTAGAGATCAAGAGGATTGTGGTTTGAAGCTGGCTCTATCAAAAAGTTTAAGACACCCATCTCAACCAGTAAAGAGCTGGGGGTGGTGGGTCTGTCATTCCAGCTACAGGGAAGGGGTAAATAGGAGAACTGAAGTCCAGGCAGGTCAGGGCACAACTTAAGACCCTATTTGAAAAATAACTAAAGCAATAAAGGCTGGGGGTGTGGTGCAAGTGGTTGAGCGCCAGCCTAGCAAGCACAAGGCCTTGAGTTCAAACCTCAGTACCACCAAAAAGGAGGGGGAGGAATTTCATTCATTCAACAAATACTATTTTATTACCAACCTGCCAGACCTTGTGCTGAAAGGAGCTGACAGTACAGTGTTGTATAGTACAGAGATGGTCTTTGTTCTCATGAAGCTTACTGTTTAGTGGGGAAATGGACATATTTTTAGGAATCCCACAAAAATGTAATCTTGAACTGTAGGAAGTTATGTGGGGATGGACATACTAATATAAGAATATATAACTGAGAGTTTGACCTAGTGAGGAGGAGCGTGGACAAGGGAGACTCATCATTATTTAAGCCAAAATGTCAAGAGTTGAGTAAAGGTAGACTGTTAAGCAGAGAGTACCCTCCGCAGACCCCTTGGGTGGGAGGGAGCCAACACCGTGTTCAAGGAGCTAAAAGAAAGCCAGTATGACCAGAGCATAGACTGCTGGGGAATCAAGAAGAATCATGCAGAGTAATACTGGTTGGTTAGGTGGAATCATGCATGATTTTATAAGCAGAATTGTGGCAGAATGTGAGCTTTATCTTGCAATCAGTAAGAAGCACTGAAAGGTGTTAAGCAGAGGGGAGGAACATGATCCGATTTGCATTTTGAAAAGACGACTCAGGCTGTGATGTGAAGAACAATATGAATTAGGAAGAGTGGACATATACTTTCTATTAAATCTTATTTGATTCTACCACAGAAATCTCAGATCTGTTCTTGTCTTTATTTTCTCTACTAATAGCTTAAACTGACCACTTATTTTGTCCTGCGTATTTTGATAGCCTTTCCATCTCCCTTGCCACTAATGCTTTCCATACTCTTGGTAGATTAAATTTCTGAAATACAATTTGATTGCAGTATTCCGTGCTTAAAAATGTAATTAGTTACCCCAATGCCGTTTTTTTTTGGGAGGGGGTAGGGGGGTAGAACTAGGTTTGAACTCAGGACTTTACACTTAGAAAACAGGTGTTCTACCATTTGAACCACACTTCCAGTCCATTTTGCTCTGGTTATTTTGGAGCTGGGAAACTATTTGCCAGTCTGGCCTCAAACTGTGATCCTCCTGATCTCAGCCTCCCAAGTAGCTAGGATTTCAGGTGGGAGCCACCAGCTCCCCAGCTCCCAATCCCTCTTAATCATGCAGTATGTTCCCCAGCTTTATAAAACCTCACATTTTAGTCTTGCCTTCAACCTTCTAATCTGTGCGTATGTACAGTGGACTTCATTATGAACTCATAACTACGCATGGTGGGGAAAAGATCTGGGGAGATGGTGTCAGGAAGTGTGTTTGCAAACAGGAGCCCAGTTTAATTGGATGTTGGGAGTTTGGAAACATTGAAGTAGTGAGTCTTGAGTAGGGCTAGAAAGGTAGGCACCAGTGTAAATCAAGGAAGGAGTTTGAACTTTATTTAATAGATACTGGAAAGTAATAGATTTTGAGAAAGACATGAGCAGAATTACTGTAGAAGAATTAATCTGTAAACAGTTCCACCAAGTGGCTCCAAAAGATGCCCATATCCTAATCCCTGGTGCCTGTGAATGTTACCTTATATGGAGAAAAATGCTTTGCAGATGTGATTCAGGATTTGGAAGTGGGGAGAGAGAGAGTATCATGTATTATTCAGGTGGCCCCAGTGTGTTTAGGCTTATAAGGGGATACAGAAGGACAGGAGTTGGGAAAGTCCATGTGATGACAAGTAGAGAGGTAGAGACTGAGAGTGCTCAGATGTCGCTTTGGCAGCAGAGGTTGGAGAGGAAAGAAGATGGTAGGCTGTTGATTTTGAAGGTAGAGGAAGGATCCACCAGCCAAGGAATGTAGGCAGCTTTTAGAAGCTGGAAAATGTGAAGAACAGATTCTAATCTCTCTCACAACCTCAAAAAGAATGCAACCTTGCTGGCATCTTGATTTTAGTTCAGTGAGTCTTCATACTTACAGAACTATAAGATAAAGTTGTGTTGTTTAAGGCACTAAGTTTGCAGTAATTTGTTAGAGCATTAGGAAACTAATACACGCAGCCTCACTGTGCATATTTCTTGTGTTAGTAGCTATAAGCAGTGCTTTTAGCTACCCTGTTTGAAAGCACAGATAATAAAACATTCTTATTTGTCATAGAAAATTCTATTAGCACTGGTCTAAAATAGTAGTACACCAAGCATGAGAAATACAGTCTCAAGCCTAACCCTAGACTTAATAATTTGGAAACTTTGAGGATAGAGCCTATATAAGTCTAGCATTTTAATTCTCTGGGTGTTTCTGATGTTTCCTGTAGCCTAAGAACATAGTTAAGAAAGGAAGTTTTTGCAATAGAGGTTGCTGAATGCAGTAATAACATTGTTCAATGTGTCAATAAAATAAGGGAATGAGGATTGACTTTGTATATAGAAAAGACTCTTGTATGGTTGTTGGGTTTGAGAACTGGATGAACATTCCAAGAGGAAACGGAATGATAAAATCAAGGTATTATGGAATTAAGGGCTGGGGATGTAGCTCCATGGTGGAGTGTTTGCCTCACATGTGCAAGGTCTTGGTTCTATCCCCAATGATATATATATTAGAGTTAAAGTATATAGACTATTTTAGGAACTACAGGTATAGATGTTTCTGCTCTAATATGAGCTAGCTAGCTAGATAATTTGGTGCTGGAGATTAAACTCAGGGCCTTGTGCATTACACACACACACACACACAGAGACTTTTTTTTTTTTGAGAGAGGGTTTCATTGTGTAGTCCAGGCTGTCCTTGAACTCATGATCTTTCTGCCTCAGTCTCCCGAGTACTGAGATTACAGGCATTCACTACTATGCCTGGCTCTGATACAGAAATTCTTTTTTTTTTTTTTTTTTTACAAACTAATTTTATTTAATTTTAATTTTTTTTTCATTTTTCTTTTATTATTCATATGTGCATACAAGGCTTGGTTCATTTCTCCCCCATGCCCCCACCCCCTCCCTTACCACCCACTCCGCCCCTTCCCTCCCCCCCTCAATTACCAGCAGAAACTATTTTGCCCTTATTTCTATTTTGTTGGAGAGAGAGTATAAGCATAATAGGAAGGAACAAGGGGTTTTGCTGGTTGAGATAAGGATAGCTATACAGGGCATTGACTCACATTGATTTCCTGTGCGTGTGTGTTACCTTCTAGGTTAAGTCTTTTTGATCTAACCTTTTCTAGTACCTGGTCCCTTTCCTATTGGCCTCAGTTGCTTTAAGGTATCTGCTTAGTTTCTCTGCATTAAGGGCAACAAATGCTAGCTAGTTTTTTAGGTGTCTTACCTATCCCACCCCTCCCTTGTGTGCTCTTGCTTTTATCATGTGCTCATAGTCCAATCCCCTTGTTGTGTTTGCCCTTGATCTAATGTCACATATGAGGAGAACATACGTTTTTGGTTTTTTGAGCCAAGCTAACCTCACTCAGAATGATGTTCTCCAATTCCATCCATTTACCAGCGAATGTAACATTCGTTCTCTTCATGGCTGCATGAAATTCCATTGTGTATAGATAGCACATTTTCTTAATCCAATTGTCAGTGGTGGGCATCTTGGCTGTTTCCATAACTTGGCTATTGTGAATAGTGCCGCAATAAACATGGATGTGCAGGTGCCTCTGGAGTACAGTCTTTTGGTATATCCCCAAAGTGGTATTGCTGGATCAAATGGTAGATTCAATGTTTAGCTTTTTAAGTAGCCTCCAAATTTTTTTCCAGAGTGGTTGTACTAGTCTACATTCCCACCAACAGTGTAAGAGGGTTCCTTTTTCCCCGTCCTCGCCAACACCGTTGGGTGTTGCTGATGATGGCTATTCTAACAGGGGTGAGGTGGAATTTAGCGTGGTTTTAATTTGCATTTCCTTTATTGCTAGAGAATGGTGAGCATTTTTCATGTGTTCTGGCCATTGAATTTCTCCTTTTGAGAAAGTTCTGTTTAGTTCACGTGCCCATTTCTTTATTGATTCATTAGTTTTGGGAGAATTTAGTTTTTTAAGTTCCCTGTATATTCTGGTTATCAGTCCTTTGTCTGATGTGATACAGAAATTCTTGAAAAATCTTTAGTTTTGCAGAATCATTTGCCAAACTAGGGTTTATGAGGAAAACAGGAGTAGAATACTAAAACAAATACTGTGCCATTTTACATGCGGAACTTGAGCATGTATGGATTATGGTATGGTGGGTAGGACCTGGAACTAATCCTGTCTGAAACTGACGGATGATGATATAGGTCTTCCCTTCAAGAAGAAAGAAAAAAACAAAGATATCTTGATGGGCGGAGGAATTAGGAAGAATGAGGCTGCTAAGTTGTGGACACAGGACAAAGGGTGTAAGCATGAGAAGGAAAATGAAGCTAAAGCCCCTGCAAGACAGAAGTCTGGCTGTACTGGGATGAGAGGAAAAAAGGAGAGTGGGCATCTAGATTAAGGGTATTGTGTGTAAGACAAAATTTCTTTTCAGGGCTTGCTGCATTCAGCTGTGCTGGTATGCTTTGGATAATGCTATTAATGTGCAGATTATTATTATTTTTTTGTAGTACTAGGATTTGAGCTCAGTGCCTTCTGCTTGTCAGACAAGTACTTTGCCACTTGAGTCACATCTCCAGCCCATTTTGCTTTTAGGTTATTTTTTTTAAACTATGTTCTTGCTTTTTGCCCAGGCTGTTCTGAGACTTATTCTTCTACCTATACCTCCCGTGTAGTTGGGTTTACAGATAAGTACTATTGTTCCTGGCTTACTTGTTGAGATGGGGGTCTCACTAACTTTTTGTCCAGGCTGACTTTGAACCACAGTCTTCCTGTTATCTGACTCCCAAATAGCTGGAATTATACTGCATAGATTATTTTTTTGGTGATGCTGGGGATTGAACCTAGAGAGCCTTCATGTGCTAGACAAGTGCTATAGCTATATCCTCAGCCCAATGGTACAAAACTAATATCCTGGAAAGAATACTGTATATATGAATATATTTTTATGCATTGTACTGCCATCCCTGTTCCTCAATAATGTATGAGCTATGTGCTGGTGGAGTGGCTCAAGTGGTAGAGCACCTGCCTAGCATGCATGAGGCCCTGAGTTCAAACCCCAATACCACCAAAGCAAGTAGATAAAAATAACAAGTTAACATATGTCTTGCTGGTAAGAGAATCAATAGATTCTGTGTAAGTAAGAGGAGCAGCATGAGGTGTTTACAAAAGTAGTGGTAGATAATTTCTGTAAATATTTTGAGTTCTTTGCAAGTTTAACTTGATTGTTTTGGTTAGGCTTTTTTTGTTGTTTAAATCTGGACGTGAAACATTAATTTTAGCTTCCATGTGGAAAGTGAAAAGACAAAAATTTTGGTAGTATGGAAACTTGAGGAGACTTGTAATAATTTGAGAAATAATCATAAATAAAACTGGAATGACTTAAGTGCAAAGGAAACATTAAATTCAAGAGACATTTAAATAAAATCACTAAGAATTTCCGGGTACTTGAAAATGAGTGTGGGGACTGGGTGTAACTCGGATAAAGCTCAAGTTTAGCATGCATGGTGCTCTGGGTTCACCAACAAAGGAGAAAAAAGGAAAGCATGAAAGTGGTGTGGGGTGAAGACAGAGTCAAAGTTAGCTTCTGGCTTGAGGGTGAATTGAGGCAAGAGAGATGGTTGTTTATATAGATGGCCCTTAACTTAAGATTTTTGGACTTCATAATGGTGCAAAAGCAGTACGCATTCAAGAAAAACAGTACTTTGAATTTTGGATTTTCTTCTTTAACTGCATGAACAACACGTGGTAGAAAGCTTCTTTCATGATGCTGGGTGGTAGCAGCGAGCCACAGCTCCCAGTCAGCCTCATGATCACAAGGGTAACAATAGATGTACGGTATTTTAAGTTAAGTTACAATATTTCGTAGGTTAGTATCTTAAATGAATTTCATCTTAGGACATTTGCAATTTACAGTGGGTGTTGGAGATGGTAAGTCTGTTGTAAGTCAGTACCTTCCACATCCAGGCATTTACCCCATTCACTTTCCTTCTTCCATAATTATACCTCATTGTATACATTATTTTCATCTTAATTTTCTCATAGTGGATTAAGTCTTTATCATGTGCTTGCTTAGAATAGCCTCCTTCCCAGTTTCTTTTTCTATATTTTGTCTTTCTAGTTCATCTCACACATTTAATTGCATTAATTTTCTCATTTTTTTTCTTTTGTCTCATTTATTTATATTGATGTTTCTGATTTAAAAGCCTTCAGGGCTCCTGGCTTCTGAAAGCTCAAGCCCAGATTCCTTGGCCTGTCATTTAGTGTCTTCTCTGAATGAAGCTGGCAATCTTACCTCCCAATCCTGTTCTACCTAAGGTCCATTCCAGCCATGTTGTTTGATTTATAGTTCTCTATGTATACCTTAATAGCTTTCCTTCATGTTTTGCTGATGACACCATCAGCAAATTCTGATTTGGAATTTCACCAGATTCTCATTTGGAATCTATACATATCCCCACAAATCCCCCTACACCTCTATAGATAATCAGGTCCTAACTATACAATGAAAGTTCCATGCACAATGTGTATACTTTCTTTGCCAACATTTGGAAGTGAATCATGTCTACAGGGGGGTATGAGGAGATTTTCTAGGGTGCTAGAGTGGTAGTTAACTGGATGTGCTCAGTTTATGGCCATATGCATGAAATGTTGTCTATAAGGGAAGCTCATTAGAGACTTAGTACCTAGGGTTTTTATTGGGGGCTAGCCACATAAGCTTTCCTTTGCCTGGCATTTACCAAAATTTTAGAATCCCAGAAGGAATGTAGATAGTTAGCATAAGCCATATTGTTTTATGAACATTTTAGGCACAGTGAGCCACATTTTATTAGTTCTCAAAATTGTGAGAACCCTCCTGAAACCCTCCCAAGTCTTCTTAGTCTCCAGCCAAATTCCTTGGTAAGCCTAGTGCTCAGGCCAGACTATGGCAATGCCTTTCTCTACAACATATCTCATTGTCTTAATTTTTATTTCCTTCATTATCACTGCAATTAACATCTTTTAGTTGTAAGAAGTGTTTTTACTTTATTAGTTATTTATTTATTTTTGTAGTACTCAGGATTGAACCCAGGGCCTCCTGCTAGGCAAGTGCTTTACCACCTGAGTCGAGCCATGCCTCCAACCCTTTCAGCCTTTTCTTTTGGTGGTTCTGAGGTTGGACCTCAGCGCCTCACTCTTGAGCTACTCTGCCAGTGCTTAATGTCTATTTTTTGCCCATTTTTCTATAAGGTCTAAGTGAGTTTTAAATTTTTTGCATGTATTTCTTGTTAATATTAATGTGTGTATGTGTTTGTTTTTAGTGGTGATGGTTCTTATTTTAGTAATTCATATTTTATGATTTTTTTTTCCCTGAAGTGCTGGGGATTGGATCTAAGGCCTTGCACATGTTTGTATATTTATAAAATTAGCATCATTTACTTGTGCATGGCTTAACCATATTAACAAGTTTTAAATTTTGTGTCCAGATTTTTAAATTGCTTTTTTAACTTGAAGCTAAGTTTACTCTAACTGTGGAAAAATCTTTATATTTAATACCTTAGATGGCATCTATCAAAAGAAAATAGGATCATGGCAGCAGATGAGGACAATGGTGATGGAGCGAGTTTATTTGATATCTTTTCTGGTAAGAGGTACTTTCAATTGTCTTTCTCAATTCACTTTTTATTTTTTAATTTTTGGTGATGGAAATTGAATCCAGGGCCTTGCAGATGGTAGGCATATACTCTATCATTGAGCTATGTACCTACCGTTAGCCTCACTTAATATTCAAATTACAAAATCTTTTACTTATTCTCATGGGGAACTGTCATTACCAACTTTTTCTCTCTAAAACATAGGGAGTGCTTAGTAAACGTGAACCTGTTTCTGTTTTGTTTTTGCGGTGCCAAGGATTCAGCAGAGAGCCTTGCACTTGCTAGACAAGCACACTACCAGTGAGCTATATCCTGACCCTCTTTTTATTGAGGGTGTGAAGAGGATCTCACTATGTTGACCAGGCTAGACTGGAACTCCTAGGTTCGTGTGATTCTTCTACTTCAGCCTCATTTAAGGCTGGGACTACAAGCACACACCACTGTGCCTGACTGAACTTTCTCATTATGTGCTTTCAGGCCTCTAAATGTAATCGTTAGCAATTTTGCTAATAAGAATGATAATTTCTGTTGTGTCCAAAATAAATATTTGGTTTTTTTTTTTCATTTTTCTTTTATTATTCATATGTGCATACAAGGATTGGTTCATTTCTCCCCACTGCCCCCACCCCCTCCCTTACCACCCACTCCGCCCCCTCCCTCTCCCACCCCCAATACCCAGCAGAAACTATTTTGCCCTTAAAATAAATATTTGTTACTCTAATTGCAATTATGCTTGTTAATTGTTCAGAAAAAAATTGATATTCACAATGGGTGATTACTTTGAAAAAAGAGAAAACCAAGTGCAGAGTGTGGTGAGCATGCCTGTAATCCCGGCACTCAGGAGACTGAGGCAAAAAGATGGCAGGTCTGGGATACACAAGAGACTGTCTCAAAATGAAAAGAAAGCAAACCCAAGACCTGCTAGTAAAATATGTTTATAAATTAGAATCTTTTTTTGATTTGTGCAGTGCTGGGGATTAAATCCCAGCCTCCTGCGTGCTGGGCAAGTGCTCTGCCACTGAGCTGCACTTCCAAACCTAAACAGAAATATTTTATGTAATATGCAGAAGTCAGACTTTCATATCCTGATATGATATTTATTACTTAGTTCTTTTATCTTTTTATAGTTATGCTTTAACCTCATTAAATTTTTTTAGATTGTAGACATATTTATTGTCCAGAATTATGATTACTGTACTCAAAGAGTGAAAGGGACAGTTAAAAGCAAGCTTAATACAATTTTATTTTTATTTAAAATGTGTTTTAAAAAGGTGATATTTGTAGACATGGAAGGGTTCACATCAAATATGGCCATCATAACCACTCTGGTCATTTCCCCTTCATTCTCTGTTTGCTTCTGGACTCTAGAAGTGTTATTTGGTATTATTTGTTTTTACTGATGAACCCTTTTATTTTCACCTGGATTCACAAATTGTTATTTTTTTTTTGATGGGACTGGGTTTGAATTCAGGACTTCCTGTCTGCAAAGCAAGTGCTCTACTTGAGTTACACTGTCAGTCTATTTTGCTCTGGTTATTTTGGAGATGGGTCTCAAGAACTATTTGTCTGGGCTGGCCTCAATCCGTGATCCTCTTGATCTCAGGCTCCCAAGTAGTTAGATTACAGAAGTGCACCATGGGCATTGGGCTCACAAATTGCTAAATTTCTTCTTACTCTAACTTCATTACATTTTGAAGGACAAACCTACATTGTTACTTTTATTTCCTGGATATGGTGTTTGCTGTTTTTGGTGGTACTGAGGATAAACTCACTGTTTTGTTGGCAAGCACTCTACCATTGGTCTATCCTCAAGGCGATACATTGTAAAAATAATGGTTCATGCCTATAATCCTAGCTACTCAGGAGGCAGGGATCAGGAGGATGGTGGTTTGAGGCCAGCCTGGTAAGATAGTTCACAGACCCTAATCTTGAAAACACCCAGTACAAAAAAGGGCTGGCGGGGTGGGTCAAGTGGTAGAGTGCCTGCCTATCAGGCTCAAGACCCTAAGTTCAAACCCCAGAACTGCCAAAAAAAAAAAAAAGAAAAAGCGGAAGAATTAGTCTGAATATAAAAATAAATGTATGCTACTGTAAGTTGTCGAATATCAGGGAGCATGGTGATAGAGAAAGAGTAAGTAAGTGGGGGGGTGTTAATTAAAGCACAGTATATACAGGCCTGAACTACTGAGTACCTGAAGCACTCAGGCCTGAAGTACTAAGACAAAACTCCCTTGGACTATTAGTATACACTTAAAAATGAAGGGCAGGAGGGTAAAACAAGTCTTTTCCGGGGGTGGATACCAGGAGGAGTGGGGTGGGCATAAGGAAAGGGTGAATGAGGGTGAATATAGTGGGTGTATATTGTATTTATATATGATAATAGAAGAATGAAACCTGTTGAAATTGTTCTAAGAAGGGGGGAGGAGAGGGTAAAGCTTACTAAGATATATTGTAAGGACATATGTAAGTATCACAATGTATCCCCCTGTATAATTATTATGTGCTAATAAAATCATTTACAAAAAAAAGAAAAATTAGCCTTTTATGTTTACCCAATTGATCATTTACCATTGCTAGTCCTTCTTTCATCCTTTAGTTCCCTATCATGTCATTTCCCCTTCGTTCCTTATTTGCTTGGACTCCAAATACATATTATGTGAGAGTTTTTGATATTACCCTGTAGATCACTAAGACTTACCCATTCTTCTCTCCTTTCCTCCCTTCTTTCTTCTTTTTCTCTCTGTCCTACAAATTGTGTAAAGATTGCATAATTTCTGTTGACCTGTAATTTCCTGGTTCTTCTGTCAAGCACATTCAGGGATTATTTTTGTTTAAAAAAATTTAATTAGCATATATTACTTGTACAAAGAGGTTCATTGTGATCTTTCCATACTTGCATATCATGAACTTTGACTAAATTCACCCCCTCTCTTATTTTTACCCCCCAGTGATGATTTTTTATTTGCAGTACTTTGTTTTAGATTTTTAAGTTGGTTCTTTTTAATTGTTTGTATTTCTCTGCTTAGATTTCCTATGTAGTCATTTTGGACTGCATTTATGACATAAATGATATGCTGTAGGCATAACTTAGCTGAACCTACACTTTAACCTCGCCTGTGATAGACAGTAACTGAAATCTCTACTCAAATATTTTAACTTTGGTTAAATTTTCAGATTTGTGTGTATGTGTGTGTGTATATCAGATATTTTGGGCAGAATTTGGAGAATCCCCTCCTTGGCTTTCTGGGTTTCCTCTCTCATCATCCAGTTGCCATTATCACCTTCAAGGGGCTAGAGGTTTCCATCTGTACTTCCACTGTCCAATGTAGCTCTAACAAGGGCCTGTCCTTCAGCAAAAAGCAGTAATAAAAGGGGAGTGGGGAATTCATACAGTGTTACCTTTATTTTTTGCAGTGCCAGGTCTCACACGTTCTTCTTTAGTTTATGACTGCTTCAGATTGCTCTCTAGCTCTTTAGATAGCTTTTAATAATTTGTTGAGCATATATAGTTATTACCTGAGGGTGGGTGTGATAGAAACTAGTCCGTTTTTACTGGTACTAGAGTCTTATTTTTGAAAGTGATTTTTTTTTTGACCGTACTGGAGTTTGAACGCAGGGCCTTGGGATTTTTAGGTAGGCACTCTTACCACTTGAGCCATGCCTTCAACCCTTTTTGTTTTGGTTACTTTTCAGATGAAGCCTTGAATTTTTGCCTAGGACTGGCCTCAGACTGTGATCCTCCTACCTGTGCTTTCCATAAGCTGGAATTACAGGTGTATACCACCATCCCTAGCTTGTTTGTTCAGATGGAGTCTCACTAACTTTTTGCCCAGGCTGGTGTAAAATCATGATCCTCCTGAGTAACTGAGATTACTGGCATGAACCACATCACTGGACCCTAACAGATTTCTTTCTAAATCTGAAGTAATCAAGTTGTAAGTCTCTGTGCCAAAATCTTCTAGAAAAACTCATCTCTTTTTTTGGAACAAAAGTAATAACTCTTCCTGATCCATTAGAGTAGAAATGGAAAAAACATTCAGTCATTTTTAACTAGTCTTTGCTATTCTTCCAGCTTCTCCTCTTAAAAATAATGATGAAGGCTCCTTGGACATATATGCTGGGTTGGACAGTGCTATTTCTGGTATGTAAATTCCATAAAATAGTATCATTTTGTTTGGTCAGTTTGTCCGGTTTTTTTTGTTACTTTCAATTACCAGTAACTTGATAACTCCTGAATAATTTGCCCATTCTTCAAAATTGATTACACTCAGGTAATTCTTTTCTTCATTTTTATTTTTTTATCTTGAATTTGTTTAGTGTATTTTATTTGTACAAAGGGCCTTCATTGTGACATTTTCCATATATGCATATAATGTACTTTGATCATATCACTCTCTCTGTTACTCTTTCTTAATCCCGCAAACCCCTAGGGAGTTTTTTTCCTAAAGCTTTACAAATGGGACAAATTAACACACAAATTTTTCATCTAGGTCCCAGGTTTAATTGGACCTTATGTAAAAATATTTTGTACCATTGAAATGCAGTCAGTGCTGTTGTCTTTACATATACTACTGCTTATTCTATCTCAGATTACTTGTTGTTAGGACATTTGAAAATTCTCCTTACCACAAATGTTTTTGAATGTATCAGTGAGAATGATAGTGAGTCTAGTGACCTGTCTAAATTAGAACCTTTTCCAGAATCAGTTCTCTCAATGTTTTGAACAAACATAATCACCACACTTGATTTGTTGGCACAGCCATTTTATGTCAACTGGAATTATAGCCATCATTTGTGAAATCAGTATAGATTTGTATGAAATGTAGGAGATGGACACATGTATAACCCTTTGAGGCAGACACAACATCAAGAAGCCTAACGAATATTTTAACGTAAGGGTTTTTGTCTGTTTATTTTAGATAGTACTTCTAAATCCTGTGTGCCATTCAGAAACTGTCTGGATTTATATGAAGAGATCCTGACTGAAGAAGGAACTGCAAAGGAGGCAACATATAATGACGTATGGGTTGCCATAATTATCGAAGACAGTTATTTACTCGTTTGTAGCTGTTGAAGAGCAGGCAGCAGCTTACCACTGAACAAATATCTGTGTTTAGGAATTAGTTCTTAGACTAAAAGAATACATAAGTCAGTTTATACCTTCTGACCTGCTTTTTAAAGTAATGCTTTTTCTGAACACTTGTCTAGATTTAATTTTAGTTTTACCTGACTAAATTTAAATGTCTGAATATATAAAATTTCAGTAGGCTATCAGTGTGATACAACATTTTATTTTTTCACAGTTTAAACTAAATTATATGTTCCATAATATGTCCTGAGACTTAAGTGAGACAAATTTCGTTCTATTATATTTGAATTTTAGGGTTTGGAGGTTGAATATGAAACTTACCAAAATACATTATTGGTAGGCTAAACTTTAAAAACCAGTAATCTAGCCAGGTATGGTGGTGCATACCTGTAATCCCAACCCTAGGGAGGCTGAGGCAGGACTCTTGGGAGTGGGACCCTGGCTCAAAAACAAAAATGGCCTCTGCCCTCCCTCATAATCTCACTGATGCCTATTAGTCGAAGTAGACTTTATGTACTCTTCTTAGTGCATTGATATGCAAAATTTTAAATATTTTTAAATGTCACCTACGCTAAGAAGGTACTTTAGAATGATGCTTAGATTAATCCTTTTATGTTTTACAGTTGCAGGTAGAATATGGAAAATGTCAGTTGCAAATGAAAGAGCTGATGAAAAAGTTTAAGGAAATACAGACACAGGTAGCATTATAACAAATATTTTATTTTTTCCTTGTTAACATTTTCAAGGTTCATTTGGGTGCCGGTGACTCATGGCCATAATCCTAGCTTCTTGGGAGGCTGAGATTGGGAGGATCGTGGCAGGCCAGGCAAATAGTTCAAGACCCCATCTCCAAAATAACCAGAGCAGGCTGGCGGAGCAGCTCAAGTGGTAGAGTGCCTGTCAAGCAAGTGTGAAGCCCTGAGTTCAAACCTCAGTGCTGCCAAAAAAAAGTAACCAGCACAAAATGGATTGGAGGCGGGATTGGAGATGTGGTTCAAGCAGTAGAGCACCTGCTTTGTAAGCTCAGAGTCCTAAGTTCAAACTCCAGTCCCACAAAAAAAAAAAAAAAAGAAAGAAAAGAAAAAACCTAGGTTCAGACCTAGTACAAAAAAAGAAAAACTTAGGGCCAGCCTGGACAATATAGTAAGACCTCCATCTCTTTTCAAAATATTTTTCTTTGTTGTAAATAGAAGTTAAAATGCTGAAGTGTTGCCAGTTTATAAAGAAACTTGGTTATTGTTACAAGCAGGAATTAAAATGCTAGAGTGTTGGCTGTTTATAAGGAAGTGGGTTTTTTTTTTTGGTCTTTCTTTATGCTAAAGATTGAATCCAGAACCCAGGGCCTGGTACATGCACCCTGGCATTTGAGTTGTACATCCTGTCCCTGGTACTATTTCTTGATTTGTTGAAGTTGATACAGGAAAGCTGCTTGAATAGTTTAAAATGACATTAACATAAATGGTCTGTTAGACTTAGACCAATTAATGGTCAAATGATAAAAAAATTTCTAGAAATAAGCCAGGTACTGGTGACTTATATCTATAATTGTAGCTTCTTGGGAAGCTGAGATCTGAAGGATAGTAGTTCAAGGTCAGCATGGGCAAATTCAAGAGACCCCATCTCCATGGCTCAAGTGGTAGAGCCTGCCTAGCAAGCATGAGGCCCTGAGTTCAAACTCCAATATTACAAAAACAAAAACCCAAAAAACAAAAAAAACCCAAACCCATCTCAAAAATGACCAGAGTAAAAGATACTAAAGGTACGCTCAAGAAGTAGAATGCCTGCTTTGCAAGTGTGAAGCCCTGACTTCAAACCCCAGTCCTGCACTCCCCCTCCTAAAATTATAGAAATAGATGGTTTTAAAGAGAATAGTTTTAGAAGCTGGGCATGATGGCACATGCCCATAATCCCAGTACTTGGGAGACTGAAGGATAACAAATTTGAAGACAGCCTGGGCTGCATAGTAAGACCTTACCTTTAAAAAAAAAAAATCAATTTAAAGGAATAAATATTTAGAATGCCTTCTTGTGGGAAAATGGTGATGCCCTCACAATTGTTGCCAGAAAGACCCTTTCTGTGATTGTGCTTCAAAAATCAGGAATGTGATGTTCTGTTCAGAATTTTACTTTTTTGTTAAAATTGTTTCTCTTCTGTTCCCCTTCCCCTGAAAGAGCCAGTAAACTCTAGATTCTTTCTTTATCTGGAAACTAATACATGTTTTCACATTTAACTTAAGTTGTTAAATATACTATTTTTAGCTTTTTTAAAAAAGTTTTTAATTTTTAATATAATGGCCCAGGCAGAACTTTTTTCCTACTGTTTATTGCTTTTACATTATGATCCCTGTTTCAAGTAGTTTCACTTTAAGTGGGCTTTTTCTGGTGCTAGTTATTTCTCTGAATTTCAGCTTCCCCATCTTTTAGTAATGAGGATAATAGTAATTCTTATAGGGTTTGTTTGGTTTTTTTTTTTTTTTTTTTTGAGAATTACATAAGATAAAATGGGATGCCTAGCATGTAGTAAGCATTCAGTAATTATTAGCAAGTTGGGTGTGTGGCACATGCCTGTAATTCCAGCACATGGGAGGCTGAAGGAGGAGGATGAAGAGAGTTCAAGGCCATCCTGTATTCCAGAGAACAGACTCCATCTCAAAAGATGAAAAAAAAGCCAAATAACAAAAAATTTATTAGTTAATATAAACAATACCATGAGTAACACTGAAGATATGTACTTTATTAATGTTTTGTTAATGTCTTAGAATTTCAGCTTAAAAAATGAAAACCAGTCTCTTAAGAAGAATATTTCAGCACTTATCAAAACTGCCAGAGTGGAAATAAACCGCAAGGATGAAGAAATAAATAATCTTCACCAAAGGTATAACAAAGGAGTAACAAACCCTTGTAACTATAAATTTTGTGGGTATTGATACTTGAAATATTTTTTACTTTGAGTGGAAAGATGAAATTATGTATTTTAATTAATATTTAAGGTTTTAGTGTGAGTAGTGACTAACATGCTAATGTTTTATAATGTTATATATGTGGTTATTAATAGAACATTACCACATACCTCTCTGAATATATTTCTCTAAAACACTGAGAATCTTTCTCTAGTATGGTTTGCCCCTGATGGTATTTATGTACATGTCATGAGTTCTTCTAGGTCACACCAAATTACCAAAATATCAGCAGAGCAGGGACTGGGAAGCTAGTTCAGTGGTAGAGCATATGCTTAGCATACCTGAGACCCTGGGTTCAACCCATAAAAAAGACATCTGTACTTACAGCCTTTGTTTATTAACAAATCTCTCTCAAGTGAATCAACAGTGACTGCCATTAAATCCATTAAACCATCAAATAATTTTGACTTCCCATTAAACTTGCTCTCTTTGCACATTGTTTGACACATTTGACTCTCCCTCTTTGAAACAGTTTTTCCCTTTGGCTTTAGTAAATACTGATTTTTAGTTTTCTTCCTGAGGTTTATTCTTCTGTACTTGGCTGCTGTGAATAAGTTCATCAAAGTTCAAACCTATATATATCCTTTTCTTTCTCTATCAGGATTTTCTTATGAGATAATCTCACCCATGCTAGGTCAGTTCCATTTATATGTACATACCTACTTCATATCTGTACATAAAGGCCTTTAAAGGTTTTTCAAAACTACCTCATCCAAAAATGTATTTATTGGGCTGGTGATGTGGCAGGTAGAGCCCCTGCCTAGTAAGCACAAGACCCTGAATTCAACCCCTAATACTATTCCTGCCCCCCAAACCTTTTCCATTGTTCCCTAGCTCAGTAGATTTTCCTATCATTTACTCAGTTGGTGTAGACTAGAGACCTAGGAATTGGGTGACCATTTAATTTATTGCCCACACTAGAATATTGAGGGGGGGTTGTCCTTAATAATTACACACCAAGATTGCTTGAAACCTGGGACTTAGTCACCCTACCTAGGATACTTAACTCCCAATTCATCACCACATCCTTGTTGATATTGACATCTTTATGATCTCAAATCATTTGCTTCTCTTATTTCTGACATTTGTTGCTACCCATCTGCTGCCATCCAGATTGGCAGTAATCCTTATGCTGACATCTCTGCATCCACTCTTGCCTTCTCTAGCCTCTCGTGTGTCTCTTTTCTGTATTATGCAGGGCATGATCCAAAGCACAAATCTAGACATTTCAGTATCGCAAAAATCACCCCATCCTACCCTCTTTTTCTGATTAATATTGTATCACTGGCTTTGTATTGTTTTTAGGATAAAAGATTATAAATCATAACTTGGCCCACAAGGCCCTTCACAATATAGTCCTAAACTATTGCACAAGCCTGCCTTCCATGCTTAACCTCTGCTGTAGTTGTCATAGATCTTGATACTCCTTGGAGGTACCGTAAGTTCTCCTTTTGGGTCGGCTGCTTTTACTTCCTAGAATGCTGTTCTCTTTTACCTGCTAAATAGTTGACATTCATTCTTTAGTCTTAGCTTAACCTTTTGGTTTTTTTTTTTTTTTTTTGTGGTACATGGGTTTGAACTCTGGGCCTTAATGCTTGCTAGGCAAGCATTCTACCTCTTGAGCAGTAATCGCATCCCTTAACTATTATTTCATGAGAGAAACTTGCCTGTCCTCTCTTTCTAGATCAAATTTCTCTTTGTAGCTTTATGTACACTTGCAGTTTTTCAAATAAGAAGTGAGATTACTTTATGGTTCTGGGATTTGAAGTCAGCTTCATGCTTGCTAGACAGGTACTCTTCTATTTGAGCCATGCCTCTGACTCAGGATTACTTGATTTAGCCTCTGGCTATCATCTTCATAGAATAGGGTCCATGTTTGTCCTCAGCATTTTAATTTTTTAATTTTTCTTTTTTGATGATACTGCAGTTTGAACTTAGGGCCTCATTCTTGCTAGGCAGGCTCTCTGCTACTCAAGCCAGTCCGCCAATTCCTTTTTTTTTGGCGGGGGTGGGGGTGGTGGCAGTTTGGATATTTTTCAAGATAGGGTTTTTCGAACTTTTTGCCAGGGTTGGCTTTGAACCACAATCCTCCTGATCTCTGCCTCTGGAATTGCTAGTATTACAGGTGTGAGTCACCGGTGCTGGCCTTGTATGAATTTATTAACTTAAATCATTTCTCCCAGTGCACCTCCCATAAGGTTGGCTCCTGAATTGTTGGAGAAGCTTTATATATATATATTTGAGTCTTTTCAAAAGAGGGGTATGATGTTTGTACAGGGCGAAAATAAAAATTGAGTGAATAAATAATGGAAGTACCTTTTTAGTTTTTTTTGATGTAGTGTTATACATTATTAAATGTTCTGTCAGAACATTTGGTTGAAACTTAAATGTTTAATGAATAGCCAAATTAAGATAGAAACATAATGTGAAAATATAAAAAAAATTTAAGCATGTAAATTCTGGAAAACATTTAATGTGAAGGTATATTTTAAAATAAAACTTCTGCTGATAGTATTTTATTTGGTATGGAATTATACTATGTGTTACAAGATCCGTGGGTTAGAACTATCTTTTAGGAACTTAAAATTTAAATAAGTATGATGCATACATAACATTTGTTGAATACAAGTCTTTTGTTATGTAAATATATCACAAACATTGTCCATTCTGTGACTTGCTTATGTTTTAATTTTGTCTTTTGAGAAATAGAAGTTCTCTTAGCAAAATTCAGTTTGTTGAATACAAGTCTTTTGTTATGTAAATATATCACAAACATTGTCCATTCTGTGACTTGCTTATGTTTTAATTTTGTCTTTTGAGAAATAGAAGTTCTCTTAGCAAAATTCAGTTTATGAAATGTTTTCTTTTATGGTACTACTTGTTTATTTTCACATTTCTTCAGTTGTTTCATCGGTTTCTTTTAAAAATTGATTTGTTTTTTTTGTTGTTTTTGGCTTTGAGGTTTTTTTTTGTTTGTTTTGTTTTTTGTTCATGACTGGAACCCAGGGCCTTCCTCTGCACTGCCCTAAACTCTCAGTCCCTAATTGGTTGAGTCAGAATCTGTATTAGTTTCCTAACACTATGATAATCAAAGTACCACAGACAAGGTGGCTTAAACACAGAAATTTATTGTTTCAAAGTTCTGGAGATTAGAAGTCAAACATTACGGTATTGTCAGGGTTGGGTTTTTTTTGTTGTTTGTTTGTTTGCAGTACTCGAGTTTGAACTCAGGGCCTATACCTCTAGTCACTCCATCAGCCCTTTTTTATGAGATGGTTTTTTTTTTTTTTTTTGAGGTAGGGTCTTGAACTATTTGTCTAGGCATGAGTCACCAGTGTCAGATACTTTTTTGTGTGTTTAAATTTTTCAGATGCTGGGGGTGTTGTGGTCTTGGAGGCAAACCTCAAAATAATTGATTTCTCTCTCTCTCTCTCTCCCTCTCTTTCTCTCTCTCTCGGCTTGGTGCCCCATTCCTGCCACCACAAAAACTCTCTGTCCTTCTGTACCTTCCCCCACCAGCCTATGGATTTCTATTCTGAAGGTTCTGAGAGAAGGATCAGTTCTAGGTCTCTCCCCTTGATTTGTAGATGGTTATCTTCTTCCTGTGTCTTCATATTATATTCTGTTTCTTTCTAGCTCTGTGTCCCTCCCCCCTTTTTTTAATAGGGGCATCAGTCACATTAGATTAAGGCTTACCCTAATAACCTGACTTTAGATTGATTACCTCTATAAAGACTTTGTTAAAATTAGGTCCATATTTTTAGGACTTCAACATACAAATTTGTTGATAGGGATAATATGATTCAATTCATAAAAGAAAATCCATGTAAGGTCTACATATTATGTTAGGTTATATGTTTCCTAAGTCTTCCTTTTGCTTTATAACAATTTCCCCATATGTCTTGATTTTTTAAATTTTGGGGATTTCCACACATTTGAGTAGTAGTAGATTTTTGAAAAGTCAGGAACATTGCAAGTCTAGTAAAATGAACTTACTACAAAGCATTAAAATGAGCTGGTGCCGTTGGCTCATGCCTGTAATCATAGCTACTCTGGAGGCAGAGATCAGAAAGATTGTGGTTTGAAGCCAGCCCCAGGCAAATAGTTTGTGAGACCCTATCTTGAGAATACCCAACACAAAAGTAAGGCTGGTGGCATGGTTTACATGGTAGAGTGCTTGCCAAGCAAGTGTGAGACCTTGAGTTCAAGCCTCAGTACTGCAAAAAAAAAAAGGAAGAAAAAAAAAAAAAGCTAAAATGAGCTGTTAAGAAAAAAGCAGTTTTCAGAAAGCATAAATACTATATTTGGAGGGCAAAAAATAAATAAGCTCACTTGTCCTAAAAGAAGTGAACTCACAGTTAGTTTGGAAGTTGTGCACCTGTGGTAGAAGAGGTCCAAAGAGATGAGCAGGTATAAGGATAAGTTTGCTTTGGAACTCACTTGTTTTGAGAACTGATTCATTTAGTTGCACAGTGGTAAATTTTGTTTTGTTTTTTTCCTGGTGCTGATGATTGAACACAGGGCTTTCTGACTATTAGGCATGCTCTGAACTACTGAACTACATCCCAAGCCCCAGTCATTTTCTATTTTATACAGGGTACAGTTGGTTTTGCCAGTATGTAGGCCACTAAATTTTAAAAGTGTCACGTGTGAATAAAATGTGGAAGATTATTAAATATCAATTTGTTTTCTGTTAATTTCTATTTCTTGATAGATTGTCTGAGTTTCCACATTTTCGAAATAATCATAAAGTCGCAAGGACATCGGATGCAATTAGAACAAAAGATCTCACCTCCAGATCTCCCCATTTGGATGATTGTTCAAAGACTGATCACAGAGTTAAACGTGATGTTTCTAAAGATGTATATCATCACACTTTACCGCCAAACCTGGAAAAAGAAGGAAAATCACATTCTGAAACACAGAACACTTCGCATTTGTCTACACCTGTTGAGAAACATTGCACCGATGGAGTTTGGTCGCGTTCTCATCAGGTTGGTGAAGGTAACTCAAATGAGGATAATAGAAGAGGGAGGAAGGCTATTAGACACAGCCAGTACAGCAGAGGAGTGGACAGAACGCGAAAAGACTCGAGCAACAGCTGTGGTAATGGTGAACCAAGGAACACAGAGGCTAGTCCAAGGCTACAAGGACGTCCAGAGAAACATGGTACTGGTGAACCAAAGACTGAAAGCAAAAATTCAAAGTTTAAAAGTAGCACAGATTCAGATTACAAAAGTGAACGCAATACCTCTTCCTGGGAGAAAGAGACGTCTAGAGAAAGGTCACACAATCGAGTAGAATCTCAAAATGACAAGAACCTGGAGAGACAAAGTGAAAGATCACAAAACATGAATAGAAAAGAAGTTCAGTCACAGGACAAAGAAGAAAGAAAAGGTGATCTGAAACATAAATTGGTAATAAAGGACCAGGATCATTGGAGGCGACCTGAACGGACCTTGCTTCCCCATTCTAAGAGTGAAATAAAATCTTACAGTTCCAGTAAACACCATCCAGAAGAGAGAAGAGGAAGGGAAGATTATAAAAGAGACAGGGGTGTGAGCTGTCATGGATTTCAAGATGGAAGATGTTCATCTTCTCTTTCAAGCAGTAGAACTCACAAGCACATGTACTCCAAGGAAGTTGATGCTATGCAGCAATGGGAAAATCTACCTTTCAAAACAGAAAGGCATAGAACCGAAGATAAGAGGAAAAGAGAACGAGAAAAAGAGGACAACAGGCATATGAGGAATGACAAAAAATCACCTACAGAACATTTGCAGAAGACTGGTAAAGAAACTAAGAAGATCAGTACTGATTCAAAGAGACAGAATGAGCCAAAAAATGATAAAGGTGCAGTCTCTAATAATGAAGCTTCTGAAGGCACAGAACAAAAAGAGTTTGAAGTGAAAGCTGAGAATAGTCCAAATGAAACAAAAAACAAAGACTTAAAGTTAAGCTTTATGGAAAAATTGAACTTGACTCTTTCTCCTGCTAAAAAGCAGCCTATTCCTCAGGATAATCAGCATCAAATATCTGATGTTCCCAAGTCCAGTGGTGTATGTGATTCAGAGTCCTTACTAAAGGCTAAAGCAGTGACATGTATCCCCTCCGTCAGTGAACACATTGCAGAGGAAACAAAATCAGAGTTATTGGAACCAAAGGATGCTCTTCCAGCAGTGTCTGAACTCAGGATCAGTGTTCCAGAAAGCCAAATGGAAGAAGAAAATAGTTTGCTAGTTAAATCTGTTGAGAATGCTATGCCTTGTGAAGTGCCCATTTGTGGTACAGAGATTTCCTTCTCAACCCCTATGAAAATGGAACAAAGAGCATCCTTATTTCTATCACCAACAGAAGTGGGAGAGGTCGTTGATAGTTCAAGGTCAGCAGCTTCTGTGGTAGTGGATATATTACCAACAGATGTTTCTCAAAAGTTTGTCCTGGGATTGGACACCAAAAGACATGATGGTTTGAATTCCTGTGGTATTTCTGAAAATATAGAAATGGAGGTGCCTCTTTCAACAAAAGTGGCTGAAACTAGTGAAAGCCTTCAGCAGCCTTCAGTTGAAGAACCTGACATTCTGTCAGTAAACCTTTCAGAAGACAGTAACCGCAAATTTGAACCTTCTCTTGTAGAGAATAAGCCTAGTCATTTGGAGCCTTGCTTATCTAAAGAGATTCTAACATCTTCACCATACCAGACTGGATTAATAGACCACAGAATGGAAATTGGGGAAACAAACTCAGACTATCATGATGATGAGAACTCGGTTTTGAGCATTGACTTTAATCACTTGAGACCTATTCCAGAAGCTATCAGCCCTCTGAATAGTCCAGTGAGACCTGTAGCAAAAATTCTTAGAGTGGAAAGCCCATCTCAACTTTCATTGTATAGTAACAGTCATAAAGGTAATAGTTTATATTATCTTCTAGAACTCATCATTTTGTGAGAATATAAAATATATAAACAAAATAGATTGGTGCTTTTGTTGTTTGATAACATGAAAACATTCAGAACATGAAAACATTCAACCTTGTCAACTAGAAGTGTATTTATCTAAATTTAGATAATCTTAAGTCACACTGAGCTATAACCTAGCTGCTTTAATTCTGAATTCTTTATATTAAAGAAGGAATGAAAGGACAGATTGTTTGAAATTGTATGTATTTATTATCTATTTATGTCTGGGATTGAACCCTGGGCCTCCTGTTTGTTAAGCACACACTGTATTACTGAGCTACACACCCATTCCAGTTTTCAGATACATTTTTGTTGTTCAAAAGCCCATTGTCAAAAGGCATAGTGTAGATGGTATTGCTTAAGTGAAGTAAAAATCCAAATGATCAAACTGTACACTTGTGAGACACCTTACGACCACTTTTTTTCTTGACATTGCTGTGTATCAGACTCAGGGTCGCAGTGCATACCAGGCATGTGCCCTACCACTGAGCTGTAGCCCATGCCTTTTCTGAGCTCTTTGTAAGACCACTAAAGGCCAGTGAAAATGATGAAGTGTTAGGCATTAACATTTTGCCTTAAAGAAGAAAAGGGTATTAATAAAACAACTTAGCATTTAATTTTTTATTAAATTTAGGATGGAAATGTCAATGACTAAGACTCAGTGGTTATGTGACTTTAATCTACTTTTCTCCTCAGATGTGTTTCTATCAGATTCAGTTCATTCTACCTCCAAGAGTCCATCTGATCTCAATAAGGAAAATCAAAAGCCAATTCACAAATCTGACAAATGTACAAAAGCAGATTCCTGTAAGATTTCATCTTTAGATGAATTAGAAGAAGGAGAAATTAGAAGTGATAGTGAAGAGTCTACATCACAGAAACATATTGAAAATACCAAACCTGGAGCTTCTGCTGAAGTGCACAACACTAAGATTAGTCCACAAGGTAGTAAAAGTACTGTGCATTTGCATAAAGACCACAGGAAAACATCTGTAAAAATTCATCAGAGCAATAGCAAATGGAATAAAAGACCAAGTCAATCTAGTAGATCTTCAAAAACAGAGAGGAAAGATAAAACTATGAGCATTTCCAGCTTGGAAAAAATACTTCCAATTATTGCTGCACCCTCTTCTGTATGGGAGATAATGCATATGTTAAGAACAATAGGCAAACATGTAAGGAAAAATTACATGAAATTCAAGGTAAAGTTTTCATTGATACAGTTTCATAGAATTATTGAATCAGCAACTTTGAGTTTTACATCACTAATTAAACACCTTGATTTATCCAAGATCTCTAAGTCAGTAACTACTTTACAGAAGAATCTCTGTGATGTGATAGAATCTAACCTCAAGCAAGTTAAGAAGAATGGCATAGTTGATCGTTTATTTGAACAGCAACTACCAGATATGAAGAAAAAACTGTGGAAATTTGTTGATGAACAACTTGATTATTTGTTTGAAAAGCTTAAGAAAATCTTAGTAAAATTTTGTGATTCTATAAATTTTGGCAGTGACAATGATCAAGGAAAAGTTGCAAAAAAATGTAAAGAGAGAATACAATATTCAAATTGTCAGAAAGGGAATGTGGACAGTTCCAGTAAAGAAATACGGAAAGAAAAATTACCTAAGTCAGAAGACTCTGTAAATTGTAAGCCTTTACTGGGATGTAAAAAACCTGAAGAAAATCATCAAGACCAAAATAATACCAACATTAACACAGTGAAGCATGACATTAAAAGAGGTTTTAACACCTGCTTTGATGGTTTAAAAAACTCTGAATCTGAAGAGCACTCTTTGGACCTAAACTGTCCAAATATTTCCAAGCCAGGAAAAAATGAAGGCAACACTATAGAAGAGACACAGATATCCCAGCATGCCGGTTTAAAGCCAGAGCGTAGTTTTGAGATCCTTACCGAGCAGCAAGCATCTAGCCTCACTTTTAATTTAGTGAGCGATGCACAGATGGGTGAAATATTTAAAAGTTTGTTACAAGGTTCTGATCTTTTGGACAGTAGTGTTAACTGTACTGAAAAAACTGAGTGGGAGTTAAAGACTCCAGAGAAACAGCTACTGGAGAGTCTTAAGTGTGAATCTATACCAGCTTGTACAACAGAGGAGCTAGTTTCAGGAGTGGCTTCTCCAGGTCCTAAAATGATTAGTGATGATAATTGGTCATTATTATCATCTGAAAAAGGACCATCTCTGTCTTCAGGGCTTTCATTGCCAGTTCATCCCGATGTGTTGGATGAAAGTTGTATGTTTGAAGTGTCTACTAACATAGCCTTAAGTAAAGACAATGTATGCAGTTCAGAAAAGAGCAAGCCCTGCATTTCTTCCATACTCTTTGAAGATCTTGCAGTCTCTTTAACAGTACCGTCCCCTCTGAAGTCTGATGGTCATCTCAGTTTCTTAAAGCCTGAAGTTTTGTCAAATTCAACTCCTGAAGAAGTTATTAGTGCACATTTTAGTGAAGATGCCTTACTTGAGGAAGAGGATGCATCTGAGCAGGATATTCATTTAGCTCTGGAGTCTGATAATTCAAGCAGTAAATCAAGTTGCTCTTCATCATGGACAAGTCGGTCTGTTGCTCCGGGCTTTCAGTATCACCCTAATCTTCCCATGCATGCTGTCATAATGGAAAAGTCCAATGATCATTTCATTGTGAAGATACGACGTGCAGCACCACCTACCTCCCCTGGACTTAAACACAATATGGTAGCTGATGAGTCATTGGCATCTTTGCCCAGAGTTGGAAAGGAAGCTGATGAAGCATCAGAGAAAGAAAGTATTTCTTGTCAGAGCACAGTTTTTAAGTCTGTGGAGGAATTGGAAAATTCCGGCAAAAATGATAGCAAAGCAACTCAAGAAGAACACACTTCTATAATACAAACACAAGTTCCATATATATATGAATTTCTTAAAGATGCTTCAGGTAAGGTGGAGCATAGTGATGAAGAGGCTGATGATTGTTTCAAGTTACATCAAGTATGGGAGCCAAAAGTTCCTGAGAGCCTTGAAGAATTGCCTTCAATGGAGAAAATCACACACTCTGTTGAGAATCCTCTTCCCAACACATACATAGACCTAACAAAAGATCAGGTGACTGAATCCAAAAACTTAGGAGAGCTCATAGAAGTAACAGTTGTAAATATTGATGATTTGGGATGTTCTGGAAGCAATTTAGATCAAAATACTCACATATTAGGTAATTCTTTGCAGTCTGATACTATAGATGCTTTTATTGATTTGACACAAGATGCTTCAAGTGAGAGTAAAAATGAAGGGAACCGTCCCGTGTTAGCTGTTGAAGGCTTAGAGTGTCAGGTGATATGTGTAGATGAGGATAACTCTAAGGAAGAAAAAATGCCTTTGGAGTGCATTGGTGAGGAAATGTGTATTGATTTGACTCCAGAGTCTCCTGATTTATGTGAAGTGAAAAAGGATTTAAAATCAGAGCCACCACCAAATTCTGATGGTATAGAATTGCCTGGGACTTTGGATAATGCTCACAGGAAGAGAAAAAACTGTTCTGGTATAAATCATTCTTCTCAGAAAAAACAAAGAAAGGAAATAGACTTAGCAAGTAGGGAAAAGACCAAGAAACTTAGCCAAGATTCTGGTAAAAATGGTGATGTTCACCGAAAGAAAGCCAATAAGAAAAGGCCCCCTACAGTGATTAAAGATCCCTCATTCTTGAAGGCAAGCCCTGGGATTAAGGATTCATCAGCAGCACTCGCCACTTTTTCTACAAGCCTTTCTGCAAAAAATGTTATTAAAAAGAAGGGAGAAATTATAGTCTCATGGACAAGGTAAGAATCTTGTGAGATGTTTTTAATTACCAGGAAATTTTGAGACATTAGTAGTCTAATCATTCCATCAGTTTTATCTCATCCTAAAAGAAGGAAGAGTGTTACTTGTTGTCATTTTCTCTTCAATTAGGCATTTTCAAAGTTTCATAAGTAGATTGTACTTTAGCGTTTTATGTGAACTTTATAAGAAATGAAGATTTTAAGACCCCCATTTTATTTTTTTTATTTTACTTTTTTTTTATTTTATTATTCATATGTGCATACAAGGCTTGGGTCATTTCTCCCCCCTGCCCCCACACCCTCCCTTACCACCCACTCTGCCCCCTCCCTCTCCCCCCCACCCCCTCAATACCAGGCAGAAACTATTTTGCCCTTATTTCTAATTTTGTTGTACAGAAAGTATAAGCAATAATAGGAAGGAACAAGGGTTTTTGCTGGTTGAGATAAGGATAGCTATATAGGGAGTTGACTCACATTGATTTCCTGTGCATGTGTGTTACCTTCTAGGTTAATTCTTTTTGATCTCACCTTTTCTCTAGTTCCTGGTCCCCTTTTCCTATTGGCCTCAGTTGCTTTTCAGGTATCTCTTTTAGTTTCTCTGCGCTAAGGGCAACAAATGCTAACTAATTTTTTAGGTGTCTTACCTATCCTCACCCCTCCCTTGTGTGCTCTCACTTTTATCATGTGCTCAAAGTCCAATCCCATTGTTGTGTTTGCCCTTGATCTAATGTCCACATATGAGGAGAACATACGATTTTTTGTCTTTTGGGCCAGGCTAACTTCACTCAGAATGATGTTCTCCAATTCCATCCATTTACCAGCGAATGATAACATTTCGTTCTTCATGGCTGCATAAAATTCCATTGTGTATAGATACCACATTTTCTTAATCCATTCGTCAGTAGTGGGGCATCTTGGCTGTTTCCATAACTTGGCTATTGTGAATAGTGCCGCAATAAACATGGGTGTGCAGGTGCCTCTGGAGTAACCTGTGTCACAGTCTTTTGGGTATATCCCCAAGAGTGGTATTGCTGGATCAAATGGTAGATCAATGTCTAGCTTTTTAAGTAGCCTCCAAATTTTTTTCCAGAGTGGTTGTACTAGTTTACATTCCCACCAACAGTGTAAGAGGGTTCCTTTTTCCCCACATCTTCGCCAACACCTGTTGTTGGTGGTGTTGCTGATGATGGCTATTCTAACAGTGGTGAGGTAGAATCTTAGCGTGGTTTTAATTTGCATTTCCTTTATTGCTAGAGATGGTGAGCATTTTTTCATGTGTTTTTTGGCCATTTGAATTTCTTCTTTTGAGAAAGTTCTGTTTAGTTCACTTGCCCATTTCTTTATTGGTTCATTAGTTTTGGGAGAATTTAGTTTTTTAAGTTCCCTATATATTCTGGTTATCAGTCCTTTGTTTGGTGTATAGCTGGCAAATATTTTCTCCCACTCTGTGGGTGTTCTCTTCAGTGTAGAGACCACTTCTTTTGATGAACAGAAGCTTTTTAGTTTTATGAGGTCCCATTTATCTATGCTATCTCTTAGTTGCTGTGCTGCTGGGGTTTTGTTGAGAAAGTTCTTACCTATACCTACTAACTCCAGAGTATTTCCTACTCTTTCCTGTATCAACTTTAGAGTTTGTGGTTTGATATTAAGATCCTTGATCCATTTTGAGTTAATATTGGTATAGAGTGATATACATGGATCTAGTTTCAGTTTTTTGCAGACTGCTAACCAGTTTTCCCAGCAGTTTTTGTTGAAGAGGCTGCTATTTCTCCATCGTATATTTTTAGCTCCTTTGTCAGAGACAAGTTGGTTATAGTTTTGTGGCTTCATATCTGGGTCCTCTATTCTGTTCCACTGGTAAGACCCCCATTTTAGACATAAAGAAAAGCATAGTTGGACTGGGGGATGTGGTTGGTTGGTTTGTTTTTTTGGTGGTGGTGGAGTTTGAACTCAGAGCTTCACACTTGCCAGGCAGGTGCTCTACCACTTGATGAGAATGCTTAATATGGGGTGCTGAATTTTGTTAAAATTAGTGGTGTTTTGTTTAAAACCACAGGCCTCAAATTCTCATTTCAGATAACTTGCAGATGTCAGAGTAAAATCTCAGAGATTGTGATAACATATTTGCTTAGATCATGTTAAAGGTAGAGGTCTGGGAAGTAGAAGATGTGCGTTCTGTTTTAGTTCTAGTTTTTCTGCTTGCTTCATCTGTGATCATCTTCAGTTCCTAATATTTTCAGTAGCATAAAATTAAAGGTAGGATTAATGAAAACTTCAATTTTATCAGTAGAAGAATAATTTACAAAATTGAGGAAATATATATGTGATCAAAGGGTTAAATTATGTATAGTCTTGTTTCTAGAGATAAACATTGTTCATATTTTGGTATATATACTTTTTTCCTGTGGATTTTACTAGAAATGTCATCCTATTTGTGGGTATTAAGACAGTGGAATTTATGATCTTTCTATTTCAATGTGTAAAAGCTACATATGATTTTTCTCTCCTTAGAAATGATGACCGGGAAATTTTACTAGAGTGTCAGAAAAGAATGCCATCTCAGAAAACATTTACATATTTAGCCGTCAAGTTGAATAAAAATCCAAATCAGGTAATTACCCAATTTTTACATGTCAATTCATTCACAGACATTCTTTTATTTATTAAATTTACTATTTTTTGTGGTTGGGGGATTGAACCCAGGGCCATGTCCATGCTTGGCAAGCACTCCACCATTGAGCTGTACCCCAGCTCCAGATTTAATTTACAACATCTTAAGATACATAGATATTTATTAACTTGTTTAAAGATGTTGCTTATTATAGGACTATTAAATAGTGACTATAGAAGAAGTATGATAGGAATTATTCTGATTTTTTTTTCCCCCTGTATCTTACCATTTATTTTGTATCTCAGGGAATTTGGTAGTTACGTTTCCTTACTTAATAAGATTTAGTATTGAAAAGTTAAAGAAAGCAATCACCTTAGTAGTAAGATACTTCATTTTCTAAACATTACTTCCTTTCTTTATCAATGAGGATGACTTTTGCTTGTAGATGTTTTGTGAAAGTATTCACCAAAGGTGAAAAAAGATATTTATCATCATTTTTAATTTTTCAGGTTTCAGAGAGATTCCAGCAACTAAAGAAGCTCTTTGAGAAGTCAAAGTGCAGGTAGTTGACAGTTCCATCACAGAAGACTAGTATAGTAAATGACCATTGTGCAGTTAATGGCCTGTTAGTCACTGAATATCTGAGAAGTGGGTGAGAGACATCCAGTTGAGTTCCTGCTTTAGTAAAAGACAAGTTGGAAGATGGTTGCAGGCACGTAAGATTACCTCACCTGCACTAGAGTGAGCCTGCTGCAATTCAAGTCAGCATGGAACTCTCCTCAACTTTCTAATTGCTGATGAGGCTAATGTGGGGAGAATCCAATTGATGGTTAATAATATATTTTTTATACATAAAGAAAAATAAAATATTCTTGAATAGCAGTATGTTTTGTAACCAGTGAAGTCTGTGTAGTTGTTGTAATGTAGTATTTCTTACTTTTTTTTTTTAATTAGGATTGGCGAATACTTTAAATACAAAATGTGTTCATAAACATGAAGTCTATTGTTGTCTAAATAGATGACAGGATTTATCATACCAGGTTATTAATAATGTCCACAGACATGTTTTCTCAGTTTGTTTCTTTTAATCTTTTTTTTTTTTTGGGATGATACTGGGGTTTGAATTTACAGGCTTTGCACTTGCTAGGTAGGCATTTTACTGCTCAAGCCACACCTCCAGCCCTGTATCACATTTTTAATTGATTTGTGATCAAAATTATTTGTATACAAAACATCCAGTCTTTTTTATCTTTACTTTTTTTTTTTTGGTGATACTGTGGTTGAACTTGAGATTGCTAGGCAGGCAGACACAAGCTCTGAAGCATCCAATCTTAAGTTTGGGGTAAATCTGAATAGAAACAATATTTGGACATAGATCATAGTGTGAAGGGTTCTAAGTATTTTTGAGGTATTAATCCCCAATTTCTAGCCTCTACTGTTTTTTAATTTGTTATTTTCCATGTCCTTACAAAGCAACTGATTTATTTCTGAGATCTTCAAAATACACATACAAATTTGCTGTGAAATTCAATTTCTGTTTTTATCAGAATGTAAGATTGAATAATAGACAATTTGAAGAAAAAGCTTATTCTAAAGAACTTTTTTAAAGTAGTGTAAGGCATGAGTTTTGCTGCCTTTAAGAAATTAACCTTAGCTAGGTATGGTGGTGAATGTCTGTCTATACTCACAGCACTTTGAAACCTGAGGCAGAAGGATTGCAAGGCTGCCTGGGCTATATAGCAAGACCTTAATCTCAAAAAAAATAAATAAATAAAATAAATAAAAAATTTGAAAAGAAAATTAACCTTATTAATCTAACAAAAAATGATAACGAGTGTTTAAGAATTATTTTTTAAATTTACTAATTTTTTTACTAATCTAAAATCTTTTGATGAATGTAATATTTGAGTATTTGAGGGTTTTTTAGAAACCTTTTATGTTTTTTATGTTTCTTCATTGTTGCACATACTGTGGGTTATTTTATTCCCCTGAAGTAGTATAGTGTCATTAAGTTCTTAAAAAAATGAGTGTAACAATAGTTACCAAACTGATTCTTGAGAAGTTAGTTCTTTAACACTAGTATTGTCTAAGTGCGGTAATGCTTTTTTTTTTTTTCTTGGAAGCACAGGGGTTTGAGCTCAGGGCCCCACACTTGCTAGGCAGGTGCTCTTACTGACGGAGCCACTCTGCCAGCCCTCTTTTTGTGATGGCTTTTTTTTTTTTTTTTGAGATAGGGTCTCACGAACTATATGCCCAGGGATGGCTTTGAAACATGATTCTCCTGACCTCTGTCTCCTGAGTAACTAGGATTACAGGTATATATCACCAGTGCCCGGCAGAAGGTAACACTTATAAAAATGCTTGTATCACAAAAATGTAATTATAACTTTAGCATTTTCTTACATTACAGATAAGTTGCTGAATTCCTTGGAATTTTAATTGATATTTCATACTACTCAGAAGCTTCCATTCCTCGTGTTTTAAATGGGGAACTAGAGGGAGGTTTTGTCTCATTTCTGACATTTGTCATTGCTTGCTGACTATAATCTCAGGTCAGCATGTTCATCTTATTACAGTCGTCAGTCTGCTACTTTCCTGTTATTGGTCAAAATATTTATTTTTAAACATATTAGAAGTTGCTATCAAAATGAAAGCAACAATAATACAGTATTGAAACCTTTTGATATTCAATGAAATGACTTCTAGATTTTTAAAAATAGTTTTATAGTATTTTAAACAACTATTTAGTTCAAGTTTTCATTCATTCTTGTTTGTTTTTATAATTGCTTCTCATTTTGGTAAATTGTAAAATAATTTAAATAGTGTACTTGTAAATATGTATAATTATAATGATGTAAAATATAAGTGTATGTGTCTTGTGGGTATGCACATACATACATGGCTTTGCCTATCCAAGGATTTTTTTTTTATCTGTATAAAGCATTTTGTATAAAGTTTGCTTTCAATAACAGTAATGTATAATAAAAACATGTAAAGTTCTGTTATATTTTTAATAGAATGTTTCTTCTATCATATTTAGATAACTTAAAAATGTAAAACTCCCAAGGGACATGGGACCTATTTTGAAGTGTTACTTGTTTGGGGAGTGGCTGGCTGTGGGTAGATTCATTAAAGAAAACCTGTTGCCATTGCTTGCTTTCTCACAGTACAGTATCCTCACAAAGAAAATTAGGGCAACACAAAAGGACTGAAGATTTGGGAAAAAACCAGTGTAAGGACTGATTGACTAGTCCTCCAGTCTCATGGTAGTCGTGTGTTGCATGCTAGGCCATAAACTCTAGCTAGCAATTGCCTTTTCTAATTGCCATTTCTCCCAGAGTGTCCAAAGAGGAAGCCCTACCTAAATGATTTCTTGGTAGAAAATAAACTGGACGAATAAACTTTGGTTTTGTAGTGCAGGGCCTCTTCATTGTAGGGCTTGCCCCTTTTTCCTCTCTTGGAAGTTCCAATGCAGATGAGAGGCCTGGCTGTCAGTCACTGTCCAGTGCATGCTGTTATCCTGTAAATGAGTTCATAAACAAGGTGAAATGATGACTAAGAGATGCTGCTGCCTCAAAAGAAAACAACCAATTGGGTTATATTCAGAACCTAAAATGAAGCTAATAAACATTGAAAGAAAAATACTCTAATGTAAGAATAATAAATAATGTGATATTATGGTTAAAATAAAAAACAATGGAATGATGTAAAAATAAAATATACACAGATAAATAATGAATTAGTGAGTTGGAAAATCAGGCTGAGAAACTCCCAGAAAAAAGATAAATAGGAAATAAAAGAAAAAAAAAAAAAAAGGAAAGCAAATTTAACTGAGATGGAAGACAAGTAATATACCAATGTTCAAATAATAAAAGAGGTGTAGAAAAATTATAAATGGAAAGAGAAAGGGCCACACTGTTAATTGAGAGAAATACATCTAGAACAACATTGAAATTGAAGAATATCAGAGATGAGAAAAATTTTTTAAATTCCTGGGTTGAAAATTTATTTCTGTTTAAGTTATCCTTCCAATATGAGGACTTAAAAACATTAACAATAAAGCTGGGCGTGGTGGCACACACCTATGATCCCAACACTTGGGAGACTAACACAGGAAGATTGTGAGTTCAAGGCAAGTATGGGCTCAAAAAAGTTACTACTCAAAGGTACACATTGAAATTTTCTAGTTCTAGGAGATACTATATAAGCTAGGAAATAATTTAATGGTCAGATGCCTTGGTAAAATATTTAGGAGAAAGATTTTTTTTTAAGGATATATCCACAATAAGCTAGAATTTAAAATTTAGACTATCAGCATGATGTAGTGTGGAGGAAGTCATGAAAATGTGGAAGCTCAAGTCCTTGTCTATTAGGGTGAAGATGTAGATATAAAAATATTGAACCTGGGCTGTGGATGTAGCTTGGTAGGTAGAGCATTGTGAGGCCAGGGGTTCAATCCTCAGTATCACAAAAAATTCAAATAAATAAATTTGAATTTTTTGGTAGCACTGGGGAGTGAATTTAGAGCCTTATGCTTGATGGCAAGCTGTCTAGTGCTTGAGCCACACTTCAAGTCTTTTTTTTTTTTTTTTCAGTTGTTTTTTTTCCCAGTTTTCTTCCTACATGTAGTCTTGTGCTATCTTTGCCCAAGTTGGTCTCAGATCATGATCCTCCTAACTGCCTTCAGTGTAGCTGGGATTACAGGTGTAATATCACCATGCTTGGCTTGTTTTTGAGATAGAATCTTGCCAACTTTTGCCTTGGCTGGCCTCTAATCATCCTCCTTTCTTCACCTCCCAAGTAGCTGGGATTACATGCATGTGCCACCACACCTGACCCCCAAAATTAAATCTCTTAAATTGAAGTATGACACTCATATTGAAAAATGCACAAAAAAATTGCTCAGTGAATTTCCATAAAGTGACAACTTGTATAACACCATCCAGGTCACAAATGAGAACATTACCACTTTCCATGGTGTCCTTCCTTCCTTTCCTAGTCATAATCCTTCCTTTTACAGATACACACTATTGTTAATTTATGTTACCGTAGGTGAGTTTTTGAACTTTGGAATGGAATCATATGGTATCTACCCTTGTGTAACTCATTTTGTTCAGTAGTATGAGACTCATGCCTGTGTTGAGTGTTTCAATAGTATATTCTAATGGCTGTATATATTGTTTTTTCTTTTTTTTGTTTGTTTGTTTGTGGTCCTGGGGATTGAACCCAGGAATTGCCTATGTGTTAGGCACGTGCTCTCTATCACTGACCCCACTGTATATATTTCAGTATAAATATACTACAATTTATTTATTCTTTTGTCATAGACATAGACATAATAGCCCCAAATTGGGCTGTAATAAATGGTGCTGTATGGTAGTTTGAAAAAAATTACAGTGACTATAATAGAAAATCACATGTAATTTTGTGTGTGTGTACGTGTTGGGACTGGAGTTTGCTTGCAAACAGGCACGCTACTGCTAGAGCCACTCTCCCAGTCCATTTTGCTCTGGTTATTTTGAAAATGGGGTCTTGTGAACTATTTCCCCAGGCTGGTCTCAAACCTTGATCCTCCGAGATCTCAGCCTCCCAAGTAGCTAGGATTACAGGCTTGAGCCACTGGGGGTTCAGCTTGTAACTCATTTTTGATGTAGAGTTTAGTAGTAATGTGTACAGGTGCATTCACATTGTTCATTGATCATAACCACCATCTCTCTTTAGATCCTCTTAATCTTCCCAAATGGAAACTCTTACAAAATAACTCACAGAGCTTAGACTGTAGCTCAGTAGTAAACACTTGCATAGCATGCATGAGGCCCTCGGTTCGATCCCCAAAATGATTTAAAAAAAAGGTAGCT